AGATACTGTTTTATTTTTTTTAAAGTGAAGGATCCTCACACCAAATATTGACTTTGTTTCATTTATTACTGTTTACTGCTCTTTATAGTATTTTTTTTAAATGTAGAAACATTTAATTTCATTATTTTTGAAGCCATCTTTACTCTACAGCATTTCTTTGCATGTGCCTAAGACTTTTGCACAGAACTGTATAATAGTTTAAACTTATAGCAATGTAAATGTTTATATAATACAGTTGTTTACTTATCGTGGTTACAACTTGACTGAAATGTCTCACTGTTGTAATATTTTGAGGGGCGGAGCCAAGTGGATACATCCAGAGTGCTGAGGGGGCGGGGCTTGTATAATAGTAACTAGTTAACTAGTTAAATTGAAAAGTGTAAAGAATAATTTTAACTTTTAACCAGTCATACTTTTAATAACAGTTTATTAAAATTATGAAATTTATACAATTACATAAAATTTAAATTTGCATTCGTGTACAATTACTTTAGACAGGAAACGATCTGTTATATTTTTATCTGTTTGGTTTCAGCAGTAGAGGTTGTGTAACACAAAACATGCTCAGTGAAAGATTTTTAAAAAATTAATTCAAACAAAAGAAGTCTGTTTATCCAGGCTGCTATCTACACACCACACATTTACTTAAAGATGCTCTAAAAATTCATTTTATATTGCATTTTAATGGATTTGATTGAATTTTGTGTGTGTGTGTGTGTGTGTTACGTCTGTGATGGTTCACTCTATAAAAAGGATATCAGTGATACTAAAACATACAAATGCCTCAAAATCTTTAACATTTTTAACAGTTGATGTTTTTTTAGTTTTTATTTCTACTGTTAATGTTGCTGGAACATCAAAAAGCTGCAAGTTTTTATTACTGGATTTTAATTATTATTGATTTTTCAGTTGGTGTTTTTCATTAAGATGTTTTCACTCCTCTTCAGTAACTTTTCGGCCCTTTGGTTCAACCATTTAAGAGCAACACAATCATGCAATTTATTTAAAAATACCAAACTTACCTTTTATATATATATGAAGTTTGTTGTTAGAAAATATTTGAATAATAATGATTAAATGCACGGTTATTTCTAAGAGCAGATAAAGGTTTTAGATTTTCTCCTGCTCTTTTGTTTGCAGGGTTTTTAAGTCCTGATGCAGCTTTTCTTCTCTTTCTGTATGTTTTCCTTTGTGGTTTTAAAACACACACACACACACACACACACAGTTTTATGGCTGTAATCTGGCTCTGCTTCTGCCTCCCATCAGCTCTGCGGCTGTAATTCACCTCTAACCGAGACATCGACCAATCAGGAGCCAGCAGTAAATCCCCCCTGTCTAAGCTCAGCCAATCAGGATCGTGCATTAAATCATAGCTGTCAGGTAACGACCAATAGCACGACAGCAGCTACAAATCTATCAGCAAGTGCACAGAGGGAGTGAATTACTGATACTGCAGTACTGCAGGGGAGAGAGAGAGAGAGAGAGGGAGAGAGGGAGAGTGAGTGAGAGAGAGAGATGGACAGAGAGAAATAGAAAGAGGGAGTGTGTAATAAAAGGAGAAGAAAGTAAAAATAGAGGGAAAGAAAGATTAAAGGAAGAGAAGAAAAAGACAGAAAGGGGAGAAACCGGGAGGCAAAGAGAAGAAAAGAAAAGGAGAGTGTAAATAAAGGATGGAGAGAAAAATGGCAGAAAAAGAAAAAAGAGGTGAGGTAAAAATGGAGCAGGAGATGAGGAAAGAAGAGGAAAAAAAGGTGTGATAGGAGAAAAATAGAGGAGCAGAGAGAGAGAGAGAGATGAGAGAAGAAAAGGAGAGAGAACAATAGAAAGGGAACTGATTTTGGATTTTGGTTTGAAAAAATGTACAGGTTTATATATCAAATGCCCAAAGGAGAAAAATCAGAAGGAATTTGAGGATATCAGTAATCTGTCACACAGCAGAAGTCTGTCTGTAGTTTACTGCATAATCTCCATATAACAAACCAGTGACTGGATTATTTATTCTGTTCTAAACAGAGTGAGAGGTGACGTGACGGTTTTTATTATCAGGTCCTCTGTTTTTCTGTCACATTCTGGGCAACTTAACGCTCCTCTAACTCTGCAGTATAAAGAAACAATGTTGAAATATTACTCTGTGGTGTTGCACGGAGGAGGAAGAAGAGCTCATCATCATCATCATCATCATCTTTTTCTTCTTCAGTAGCAAGTAAAGCCTTTAGCGGTATCTGAGATGTTGGTCATGCAGCGTTCAGTGGCTCTGCATGTTCAGTTCTGTGTGTGATTAAGTATATAACGCAGCTACACACCCTTGTGCAGTGGTGGCTCAGTGGTTAAGAGTCTGGGTTATCAGAAGGTCAGGGGTTCAAGCCCCAGTACTGCCGAGCTGCCGCCGTTGGGCCCTTGAGCAAGGCTCTTAACCCTCTCTGCTCCAGGGGAGCTGTATCATGGCTGACCTGCACTCTGACCCCAACTTCCTAACAAGCTGGGATATGCAAGAAAAGAATTTCACCCTGCTGTAATGTATATGTGGCAAATAAAGGCATCTTCTTCTTAGGGATGAAACAAACTCTATGTGAACACGTACACTTTGAGCTACATGAGGCAGATTTCATGCTTCATTGCTTTGAGAAATGTATCACAACAAAATCTCTAACACAGCATGAGAGCAAGCTGCAGTCTGAGTCTTACAGCAAGGAGCTTCTCATCATCGACTGTTACAGCAGGTCATCAGTTCAATTCATATAAACATGTATATGATATATCATCGGCTCTGCACCTCCGATTGAACAACACTCGAAGAGACTGTCAAGAGAAAAAAACAAGAAAAGTATTAGTTTAAATACATAGAAAACAAGTCTGTTAGATAGAAAACAAGTCTGGCTTACATTTGGGTCTTCTGGGCTGAATGTATGGCTGAAGGTATGGGGAAGTGGTAGTTCAGTGGTGAAGACGTTGGACTTCTGATTGGAAGGTTGATAGTTCAAATCCCAGTATCAAATCCCCTTGAGCAAGGCACTTATCCCTCAACTGCTCAGTTGTATAAAAATGAGACAATTGTAAGTTGCTCTGGATAAGGGCGTCTGTCAAAATGCTGTAAATGTAATTCACCCTGAAGAGACCATTTGGCTAAAATCTTGCATGAGTCTGATTGGCTGAAAGAGAAGAAGGCACCAACAGACTTAAGACCACAGACTGATTTCTAGGCTTTCTAACATTCAACCACTTGTTCTTCAGATATCGCATTAGTGGGAATCTCGGATGGACACACGGATAGATGGACACCCTGAAATCATAACTCCTCCACTAGCAGAGCGATAAGAATCCTTCAGACATGTCCGGTCTTATTGCCATTTGGAGTAACTGTTGTGTACATTCGCTCTAGAAAGTGATAAGTCGCGCGTGTTGCTTGTGAGTGTGTAGGAACAGCTGCTGTTGTTGCTCGTGGACGTGGCCTACAGCGCTATACAATTTATACACACAACTATTGTTTAAAATATATTTAAATTTGATTTACGTTACATGCTCGGCTTCACACTAGCATCATTCTCAGCTACGTACACTCACCAGAAGAACCAAAGATCTCTGCTACTTCCTTCCAAGCTTTATTTTCCTTCATAATGTCTCTATGATGAGAGGTCGTATACGACAGGATAAGATGAAACCATGATTTTGAGTTTTTCTTCCATTTTCAAACAGTAAATGGGAAGTAATTAGAGGTAGGAACTAAAGTTTGAAGAAATTGCAGCAATACAACAAGCGACTTGAACCAGTGGAACTACTTTTGGCGGAGGAAGAAATGGTTGACGTTAAACATCAGATAATTGAAACAATGTTTGTCATTTTCCTTAATTGTTGTATAAAACCTGTTGTATTAAAGCAAGAGAACATGAAGTCGTGTGTTATCGTGAAATAGCGATCGATCGTCTTCGGCCCGTTCCTGCGACCGAACCACAGCTTTGCTGTTATTCGTGATTATTAACACATTAACACACTCCCTCACGTCTTCTGTTGCACGATTTCAAACCTTTAACACTGTATCTGTTTGGGTTTCTGTAGGAGGAGGATAAAATGTGCTGATATTAAATACACAGATGCACTTATTTGTTAAAAGGTGTGTTTTGGGCTGTGATTCACAAAATGGCGTACAAAAAGCAAACAAAGGAACAGAGCCATTGGGAACAGTTTTAGATCATTTTTATTTATTTATTTATTTATTTAACACATTGTGTGTTTGTACAAACTTATTTTTATCATAAGTGCAGTATTTTACATTTGTAATATTCCACACATACTGTACATGTAAATATTTTTATTCAAAATCCGTTTTTCGTACGCCATTTGTGTGCGTGAACACGAAACCAACCAATCACCACCGAGCAGCGTCGTTTACGTCATGACGCACATTTTGAGATCGCACCAATCACAATCGCACGCTTGACCGTGCGTCATGACGTATTTCATCTTCTTCGCGAGGCGCTTTCGGTGAAGGCTTGTGTTTCTGAGCAGCACCGAGCCGCCGCCATGTCTAAAGAGGTAAAACATTTATTATTTTATTATAATGGTTTGTTTTTGGTGTTGGCACGCTTTTGTATTTGGTTATATACATATTTTTTGTAATTGCTTACGTTTACTATTTGCAGAAGAAGTCTGCATTATAGATTAGCTTGTTAGCTTGCGAGTTATTATTGATTTTATTTGCTAACTAGCTGTCAAAATTTGACACAGCTGCATTTTTACAGAATTATATTTAAAAAAAAAATACATTATTGTGATTATAATTGTAGTATGATTCGCTTAAAACGTGTGCAAGCTAGCAGGCGTGCACGATAGAGACCTTTGTCTTGGGTTGAATCCCAAATGGATGCGTTTTGATGACGTAGTGCACTATTTAGGGCACAGCGCGAGTTTAGATCGCGCCCTATGTAGTGCACTAATATAGGGAGAGTGGAGTTAATTAGGACTGAGCCGTCGTCTTTTGTGCCGTTATGCGTGATTGACATAAATATACCCTAACACTGGGGCTGAATTTCCTCCATGCAGCCACAAGAGAGGGATTATTTCATTTTTAAACACTGTTTTTGATTAGGATTAAGGTTTATTTTCGATTTAATGAATGGATACAGTTAGAATTGGTCATTTTTTCCCACTCAGAGGCGTGGGCGTGTAGGCCTGGGATGGAAGATCACATCCTGTATCCATTCAGTTTGAATAGAAACCCACTTCCGGCTTTTTATTCCATTCATTTTCTGTATAAACTTCTATATCACTTGGGAAAGTAATGCATTGAGGATGATACCTGAGGGGTTTGTTGTATAGATTTTCCTGCATTGTGTGCATTTTTTTCATTTTCCATTCATTCATGCATGTTAAATACAGATTCTAATCCCTTTTGTCTTTTTTTCCCTCCCCTTTTTCCTTTCTTTTCTTTTCTTTCAAGACGCCTCGCGAACCCGAGCAGATGCGAAAGCTCTTCATTGGGGGTCTGAGCTTCGAGACGACAGATGAGAGCCTTCGGGCGCATTTCGAACAATGGGGAACCCTGACAGACTGCGTGGTGAGTGTGAACGATGCCCCGGCTTTTATTCATCCTGCAGACACTTCAGGACACGCGCTTATGGGAGAATAATCGGAGACGGGGTGGTGTGTTAGTGGTGTAACAGCACGTCCCCGAGTGTTTTATTCCTCTTACACCACAGCAGTTTACCAAAAATCATAGACTATTACTTATTAAAGAATGACACATCGTACTTTTTATCCGTTTATAGTTACAATCAATGTCAACAAGACATTCTTGTTCTTACTTGTTATCCCTCTCTCTCTCCTTCTCTCTCGCCCTCTCTCTCTCACCCGCCCTCTCTCTCTCTCTCTCTCTCTCTCTCTCTCTCTCTCTCTCTCTCTCCC